TTTTTAAATTTAAAAACTTTTAGTAACTAATAAATATAAAAATCCCCCCCCCCCCCCCCCACATAAACTTATATAAGTCCTTGTTGACAGCCAGGTTCTTTGGAAAAATGATTGATGAGGCTTAAAAAACAAAAGATTGAGAACCACTTATCTAAAAATTGGAGGGTGACTGCATCTCAGTATTTTGCTTGGCAATAAGAGAAGGCCAAAGGAAATGGCAGGGAGCTTACCGTGGCAGCCATTTTGGAAAAGACAGGTTCTCTGGCAGTCATTTTGTAAGAACACTTACAAACATGATTTGAAATATATGTGTATATGTCTGTCTGTCTCTTGCTCTCTGTGTATGTAAACACACACATATGCGCACACACACACACTATATTGACTCCTGGTGACTGCCTGGACTAGTCGTGATTTGCCCTTGCCTGCTTCTCAGGCCTGAGAGAGAGGGACTGGCCCAAGGCCCCCCAGCTGGCTTCATGCCTAAGGCGGGACTAGAACTCAGTCTCCCAGTTTCTAGTCTGGTGCCTTAACGTGACACCAAACATAGAACCCCCCCCCCCAATTGCCTATTGTTCTCTAAGTGTGACATGCTAAAAAAATCTGTAAGGAAACAATGGTTTGCTTTAGGACAGGAAACTACCTTTAGAAACCATGCTTTGCTGTTGCCATATTGATTGCATCTGTTGCATAGTACGATGTGTGAACAAGGTTATATGATTGATTTACTGTTTTCTAGTTCATGTGCTATTTAGGTTAGTTTTAAAAAGGAGGGAAAAACAAACTAGAAACTGACAAACAAACTGTACACATTTTGCTCCTCTACAAGACTGATTCTGCCTTGTTTCTAGATTGTCCAAGAAAGCATAATTTACAAACTATGGCTTAGCATCATCTGTGAATCCCTCCTTCATTTATTTCTCCCAGTAAATTTCTACAGAAAGAAAGTCTGGTTTGATTTAAGCAGAGTCCCCATGGAAACAGCTTTCCCCTCGGGTGTATTTGTACTAATTGGTTAAAAGTTTAACTGTTCTTTCCTGGGGATGAATAACTAAACGGAATAGCAGGATAGTAGCCATGATGGGAAATGATATCCCTTATGGCTCTGGGAAGCTGCTGGCTTCTGCCGTCTCATTTGGGTAAATAGCACCAAACACATACAAATGACAAAGCTAATAAGCCTGGGAAGAGGCTTCTGAACCAACACACAGCAGGCTAAGATCTCATGGCTGTAAGGAAGAGCTCTAACTGTTCCCTCTGCTGAGTGGACTCTTGTTAGGAGTCTTATGCAATTAACACAACAAACACAGCGAGAAGGGCTAACATGCACACAAATATTTAACAAAAGTACTGAAAGTGTGCAAGTCAGGCTACAGAAGCCCACTAATTTGTCCCTAACAAATAAAAGCAATACGATTTTCCTGTATTGAATTGGTTGAAAAGGGAAGCAGACATTTTACAGATCATACATTTGCTGGAGATGCACCGAAACAAAAACAAATATGCAATGGACACTTAACAAAATAAAAATTTAAAAGACTAAATTAATATTACATTAATAGTACCTCTGATTGGATGCTCTTAATATTCCCAGAGCGGCTGAGATCTTATCAGTACTCTCATGCTCTTTTATGCGGTCCTCTTACCTAGAAATGTTAAAACTACTGTAGGTGTCTGTGGGTGGAAGGAATGTATTTATATTTATTTATTTTACATTTCAAATTTAGTCCCTGCCCATCTCACTCAAAGAGTGAGTATTAAAGCCCATCTCACTCAAAATATTACTTGTCACTAACAAACTTAAGAAGAAGCCAGGCATGTGTAATAATGTGTAATGAGGCACATGTAATGAAGCTAAGACTTAAATGTTTTGGACACATTAGAGAAGATCCTGATGCTTGGCAAAATAGAAGGCAATAAAAAAAAAGGGGGGGGGGCTGACAGAAGACGGGGGGCTAGATGCTAGATGCTGGTGATGACATCAGCATGAGTTTACAGGAACTCAAGGAAGCAGTTATGAAGACAATCCCAGTGAAATGATGTCCACCCAGTCATAGAGAAGCAGAAGTGACTGAGCCACAGCCCTCGAGCAGCTCCATTCCATCATTTCTAAACCACCAGCTCTTACTGTTGAACGGTGAGCTCGCGAATATTTGTATGTAGGCCAGTCTTCCTTGTAGTATTGTTTTATTAATTATACACAGGGGTGACTGTGGGGGCATGGTGTGTGAAAAAAGTCAAGATGGTGCCCACAGCCATGAGATCAAAGCCCTACCCTTTTCAGTGTGTGTTGTGTGAAGACTGCTAACAAGATTCACTGAGCAGAGGGAACTAGCGATGATCAAATATTGTGGCTGGAGAAATACTTTTCTGTGAAAAGTAACTGAATCCTTTGCTTCCCATTTAATGCACGTTAAATTGAATTTCCAAAAGTCTCAAAATGGAGGCAAATGAGGGCACAGCAGGGGAAAAATAGTGCCAGATGGTGAAAACAGCACATTCTAAACAAGAAAACATAGAAGCCATTTTTAGAATGCCTGTCCCTTTCCCTTAAACTACATGAGAAAGAAGACTTGAATCTCACCTTGCAATTCCTTTCACTGCCCCCTAATTTTTTTTCCAAAATAAAGCTCTGTTTTGCTTGTTATCTTTAGTTTTTGTTTTGTAGGTACCTGATTTGCCTTTCATTTCTCCTTGATGCATATAATCTTATCAATTGTGTGCAAATAAGACTGAAAATCTTGGGGGAGGAGAAAAGAGATGCAAGGAAAAAAAAAACAGGAAAAAAACCCTTTCAGATTCTCAATCCCCTCAATCCCCTAAACTTCTCTCACCCTCTCCCACAGATATCACATAAAAATGGCTTGTCATACTTTGGATGCTCAGCCATG